ATATATCATTTTATAACAATACACGTTCAAGGGTAAACTTTTTTATTCATATAGCTTTTCATCAACAAGTGTCACATTCATCGTGATTTTATGGGCATAAAATTCAACTTTATCCTTTGAGCTGAGCTGTATCTCATAATCTTGTAGAATTCTTATTGTTATTGTGGATTCACATTTTTAAGAGCATTTTTTTGCTGTTTGAAAATTGCTGTGGTAGAGATCGAAGCTGAAGTTATTGTGGTGGATGAGCGTGAATGTAATCATAGAAAAATCAATATCAATATTTATTCTCAAGTAATCATAAAAATAATATAAAAAACTTTGTCGGTTCTTCAGATGTCTCTGGAAGATCTGAAAAGGAGAGTAGAAGAGCTTACGTCTATCCCTGTTCTCTTTCAAACCTCAGAGTGTAACGAAGAAACTATGACGGAGGAGAGTCTAGTTTCTATCAAACATGGCGATCAGCTTAAAATCGTAGGGGAATTCTATAAATTGAATTCTAAAAATAATTATTTAGGGACATACCGCAATACCATACTGGGAAATTCTTTCTATTGTATTCAATTAAGAGAATGCTATCAAATTTCTGCAAGAGAAAGAGCTGCTGCCAACTGATAAAACTTGTGCATGCGGAAAACCGATGATTCTTATGCGGTCTGAGAAACGAGATAGGTTTCGCTGCATGGATAGGAATTGTTTGAAGGAAATCATTTTGAAAAAAGACACGTGGTTTGAAGGTATTTGTTAGTTTAGAGAGCTGTTTGAAAATATTGCCATTAAAGGATGTCATCTTTCCTACGAAACCATGATTTACTTTATCTACTGGTGGAGTAAGGAAATGACAACAGTGAAGTTCTGCAAGATCCAACTCAACATCAGAGGAGAACACACAGTCATTGATCACAACAACTTCCTGAGAGAAGTATGTACTTGGCGACTGTTGGAAGAGCCCAGTGTCATTGAGCTCCCTGAGAGCATAAGCATCCTGTATTATCACATGTGACCATAGCGCAGTTTAGCTTATACATTGTAACATCACACACTTGTTCT